GGGGGACCCGCTCCTCAGCCAGGCGGGTGAATGGCGGCTGCGGATGACCTCAAATTCCAAGGTACGCGCGAGGTGTGGGGCCCGGCTGGCGCAGGGGTCAAACTCTGGGGGGCTCGGGAGCGTTTCTGAGCTTTGTTTGGGGTTCCTCAGGATGAAAGCAGCCCTCGAGCGCAGGCAGTGCTGCCGGGGGCATCTCCGGCTCTCTGAGACGGGATTGTGCGGTCGGTGAGCTAAGAAGCTTTACCTGTGTTGACTGAAATCCTTCGTGACGGGAGGCGAAAGCTGAAAACGGGCAGAGCGCTCTGTAATTTGGAAGGAGCTGTAGTTTCAGACTTGCTTAAGCGTATGTATTGATAAACCAATTCAGGTCTGAAAAAAACCTAATTTCTGGAGAGGATTAAAATTACCCATTTCTACGGTCTCTTCAGAGAGGCAGCTTCCCCTGCCCTTGCAGAGACCTGCTGATTCCCGGCTTGGGGCTGACGGCGGGAAGGAAAGGCAGGCTGCAGCGGCACTGGTTTATCCCACAAGGCAGGTTAGCAGGGAAGAAGGCCCCCCGCTCTGTTAACTAAGTAAATGTTCAGCTGGATCCGTGTCAGTTTGGGCCTTAACAAACAGATCATATCTGACATGCCTAAACTGGTGATGTATCCTTTCCTGGGCTGCATAGGGGTCTTAACGTATTTTTTTTGAGCCACAAACCCAAAAACTTGGTAGCTTGATCACTGCCTCTCTTGTAATGTACTTATTTGCAGAATTTGACGATGCAGCTAATTTGCTTGCAGCAAATCCTGATGCTACCACAATAAGCATTGACGAGCCAGTTGAAATCCCCAAAAATCAGCACGGCCGTCTGCAAGAGACAGGGAGAGAAGAGGATGATGAATTACTGGGGACTGATGACTCCGATAAAACAGAGGTAGTGCTCTTACACCTGCAGTGCCTCCATCGGCACGTGTACAAACGGTGCTGACAACACTGAGGTATTTCCAGAGGATACCAGGAATTCATGCTGGATGACTTAAAGCTCCGCTGCTTCTCTGTCGCAGGTTACTTTCTCAACAACAGAGTTGGCAGAAGCAGAACAGCTCTTCAGCTGTTGTGGTTGGCAGCCTAGGAAATCCAACCAAAATGGGGGTGATCTAAGCTAAGCAAATAGGCCAGAAGATGAGTGCAGCAGCAGCAGCTGAAAACCCAACACCATGTTTGTTTCTGTCGGTTCTGCTGTGGGGTTGGTGGCTCTGGCAGGAGAGCAGGAACCTTTGAAAGAGCCAGGGCTTGTCTGAAGGCTCACCTGATGCAGCCATCAGCAATGGTCAGGGAACTTGTGATGCCGATGAAGGTATGTGTTATAAATGATGTCGTAGAAGGCAGTACCTGGCTGCTTCTTAGAACACTGGGCCACTGTTCTGCTTGCAGGGGGATAAAGACTGGCTGCTGCTAATAAATATTGGAGGGGGAGAGGGAAACAATTAAATGATTCACAGTAAGCACCACCCTGTAAAGTTTGTTTTCTGTCTGCATACAGAAATCGTTTAACTGTTGTGTAAATTAACTAGTAATGCACAAATTGCATGTTTGTGATGTTTTTCATGTTGCCTTTCCCACCCTACAGCTGCTTGCAGGACAGAAGAAAAGTGCCCCTTTCTGGACATTTGAGTACTACCAGACGTTCTTTGATGTGGACACTTACCAGGTTAATACTCCACTCCAGAGGAGAACTATTGTCTGAACTATGCCTTCCCCAGACACTGAGGTTTTTCCATTTTGCATCTTCAGTCAGACAAATCTGTATGTTTTCATAGGTCCTGGACAGAATCAAAGGTTCAGTTTTCCCAGTACCAGGGAAGAACTTTGTAAGGCTGTATATCCGCAGCAATCCCGACCTTTACGGTGGGTACAAGGTTTGAGAAGTTCTCTTTTTGTGCTAAATGTTTCAAATGTGTATTCCCTTTTCCTTGCTAACCTTAAGAAACCCAAGAGGGCAGAGGACTTGTTATTGAACTTGTTTGCTTCCTTTTAAGGTCCCTTTTGGATATGTGCCACGCTCGTCTTTACCATTGCTGTTAGTGGCAATCTCTCAAATTTCTTTATCCACCTGGGCAAACCAACATATCACTACGTGCCAGAGTTCAGAAAAGGTTTGTAAATAGTCAATACAGTCCTGAGTTTGTGGGTTTGGTTTTTTTAATTTTTTTTTTTCAATGTGCTAATGAAGTGATGTAAAAACAGGTCGCAGCTTTGGTTTAGCAGAGTCTCTTGATTTATTGCTTTCTTTAAATTTTGAGAGATGTGAAGGAAGCCCTTAAAGTGGGCTGTAACTGGCAGAATCCTACTCTTCCAGAGCATAAAGTAGTTACAGGGTTTTAGTAGACCAGGCGGGACTCATTAGAGCAGTTAATTTTTCTAGCCTTAGTGAATGCCCCCTTGTACAGAGAGTGGAAGCCCAGCAGTGGCCGCTGCGGTGCTTTTGTAGGTGCATGGCCTCCTAGGAGCCTGCAGGCCTCAGAGAGAGAATGACTGAATTAGAGTATTACTCTGTCACCTACCGAGGGCTGGAAGTTGTCACCTTCTGGCAAACTCAAAAATAAGTAAAGATGCTCAACTGATGCATGCCCCAGAGAACTCGGAGTGAGGAGCCAATGGTCTATACCTGTCCCTGTAGTCTGAAGGAGGCTGCTGTCCCTGCAGAGGAACATGGCTTCTGTTTGTTTCCAAAATCCACAGTGTACTTGGAAAAATGCTGCCATTTGGGAATCTGATCACTTGAATAGTTTCAGATTTGACCCTCAAGTCTGTGTTCTCTTTCAAATTTTTTTAGCATGTCTGCATTCTAATCTCATTTTCCAGTAGCTGTTAGTAGCTGAATTTCTATTCTTAACTAAGTTTTTCTTTCCTCCATGGCTCTTCCATTCAAACTGAAACTGACAGAATTTTGTACACAGGTGTAATAAAGAAATTGAAAATATCAAGAGAATACTTTCTGGAGTCTTTACTTTTAAACTAACTTGAAGTTCTGGAAAAGTTGTGGGTGTAAACTGCAAATGCACTGTAAATGCAAAGTTCTCAGTTGACTAATAATTCAAACTTCGTATTTTGAAAGTAACTTCAAAGGTAGCTTTCTAGTTTTCAGGCTAAATGCTTCTATGCTTTTGGTTCTGGCTGGTATTCTACATAGAATGTGAAATCTTTGTCATATTTCCAGTGTCCATAGCAGCAACAACGATTTATGCATACGCTTGGCTTGTTCCCCTTGCTCTCTGGGGATTCCTGATGTGGAGGAACAGTAAAGTTATGAACATTGTCTCCTACTCGTTCCTGGAGATAGTGTGTGTATATGGCTACTCCCTCTTCATTTACATTCCCACAGCGGTACGTATGGCCTAAAGAGTGTACCTCTGTTTACATGCTCTGCAAAAGGTTTAGAAAATTTGCTATTTCTTATAGTATTGTTCATATTGGTCAACATCTTGGGTTCTGGGCAAATCACTTGCTCCTTTTTCTTGGCTAGAATAAAACCTTTTGTTGAAGCTTGTCTAGTGTAAAGATGCTCTGTGGGTCCTAGAAAAGCCCAGGACAGGTCACTTCCCCAGAGGCAGCAAATCCCAGCAAGGGTGCTGCTGGGAAGCCTGGCAGGCAGCCTGAGGCAATTTCAGGAATTGGGATGTGTGTCCCAGGGTGTACAGGATGGTAACTGAGGACAACTTCCCCTGGCAGGGACCAGGCTGGGCCACTCTGGCAAGGGGCAGGCCTTGGAGTGAGTGCCAGAACTCACGTGACACACTCTTGTCATGTCTAGGAGTAAAACTCATTGCTGCCGTTACTCTTCCTCAAATAACAGAGACATATCAGATAAGGCGTGAGTTCATTTGTGCACAAATTTGCTGGAAGTGATGAAATGTCACAGAACAATGCGTTAAATAAATGAATTCTTGTTTCACATGGTCTCTTCAACAGTCATTTTCCTCCCTTTTACAGATTTTATGGATTATTCCACAAAAAGTGGTGCGCTGGGTCCTGGTGATGTTCTCCCTGTGCCTTTCGGGGTCTGTTTTGGTGATGACCTTTTGGCCTGCTGTCCGAGATGACAACCGGAGGATCGCACTGGCGACCGTGGGGACCATTGTTCTGCTTCATGCCCTGCTGGCTGTTGGCTGCTTGGTATGACAACTGCCTTTCCTTTACTCTTTCCTGTTGTCGTCTGGGACTGGTGACATGTTATGGTGCAGGGAAGGAGGGGTTGGCTGTTTGCTGAAAAATCTGTTTTAATAAAGAGAGAAACAGAACTTCTGAAAAACCTCCAAAGTAAAAGTTCCGGCTATTTCAAATGTAACAGAAATTGATGCCAATCTGACTTAGACAGTGCCAGTAACAAACTCAGTAATGAATGTCCTTAGCACAAAGTCACTCACAGAATAGTCTTAAATTTATCTGGAATTCATCATAGTATCAGCAAACCGTTAATCTTTATTCTATCCAGTCGTATCTTACTCCAAGTACTATGCTTAGTTAGTGCTTTAAAGGATTAAACATTCAATATGTAGTGTGTGCTTATGAGTTTCACGCATGAAAACACAAAACTGCTAGAACGTAGTAAAATACCAGCATTATGAGAACAGAAGACACTAATGCTACTGAAATACATAGCGATGAGAACTTAAGATTATTTGTTGTCTCTCTGTTGCAGTAGGTAGAATGATGTCATCCAGGCTTCAGTTCTGTTCCCTTCCCACAGGTTCCAGAATAGGTAGATTTGGTTCCCCACAGCTCAGTGTTGCAGGGAGGTGAAGGCAAAACACAACTCTTGCACCAGCAGGAGACTTGCAGCTGACTTCAGTGGGGCTCCTGTCCCCGGAGACTGCCTGGAGCTTCATCAGTTAAACCAGCAGTCAAACAAATCTCTGCAATCCAATCCTTTCCAGTACAGGGCTTTTTCAAAGGCCTTAGCCGCTAACTGTTTTATTTAAAAGTACAGTTTAGAGCACCATTTTAGTTGACTGTTTCTAATCTGATAAAAACAGAAAAGATGCGAATTTGCCATTTCAGTGCTGTGTTCCTACCTTGTGAACAGTGGGTGTGGAAAGAAAGAGCTGGGATGAGGTAGAACTGTTTGTTTCTCTCTAAACAGTCTTTTTCTCCTCTGTAATAACATAGGCATATTTTTTTGATGCCCCTGAACTGGATTTTCCTGCACCAATTATCCCTGCTCACAATGGAACAACAGTAATAACAAAGAGTCATTAATTAAGGTAAGAATCCAATCTAAACTTTCTTCTCTAATCATCAGACATCTTGAAACTTTTCCCCATTACTATGGTTGAATTGAAAAGGGCTTAACAGACCAATTTTGCCAAATGGCACCTATATATAAATACCATTTATTAACTTTTCTTCTGGTTGTAAGTTTTAAGTATAGCCCTAAAAACATAACATGTCTTTGTCCCTCAGAGTCTTATCTTTCTTTTCTTTGAGGTTTACTCTTGGTGAGGAAACACACATTTAAATAATCTACACCGTCCCATAGGTCTTTTCAGAGATTTATTTCCCCCCCCCCCAATCCCTTACGGAAGTCCAAAAGTGTTTGTTAGAATTTGTACTCCACAAGTAAAACTTAAGCAATAAACCACTATACTCCAATTTCGATTTCCATTTAACATTAAATTGGATTTTTTTTCCCCTTGATGTTTGTGACAATGTGTTTCAGAGCAGCAGTTCTGTGTACAGGGACATCCGTGTACTCTCAGAGCAGGGCTGACTCACAGCCTGAGCCATCCCCATGGGCTACATTCCTCCTGTGGGATGGTTTGCTTCCTGGTAGCTGGGAGTGCTGCCAGCAGCAGATGACATTTGAATTCTATTGGAGAGACGAGACATGGAGCAGATCCAGGAGAAGGCTAATAGGAACGCAGAGGCCAGGCCCCTGCAAGTATACCAGCCGCAAGCGTGTATGTGGAGTATTTACTGACTAGAAGCTGTATTAGATTGGAGAAAAAAGGCCAAACATGCCTAGCAAAAATGATCATAAAAAGTTACCAGCTGTGACACAATCTAATCATGCAGATCAGTTTTAGCAGCTTTCCTCCTGCAAAATCAGTTTCTCATCCCAGGTGCCTATTAAGATTCAATATGATACTAATAAATTTTAGTATGTAGATACAAATATGTGCCTTCTTGTGTCCTCTGGTGGCCATGAGGAGCTGTAATATTCATAGGAGCTATTTGTCTCTTTCAGATTACAATGCCTGTTTCTCCATCTGTACAGTAATTTTATTTTAGATTTTTTTTTTCACCGAAGAATGTGGGAAGTGCAAGAACAGGGGATAGCTTTTTGTAGAAAGACGGACAGTGATGACCCATGGACTTCTGGATATCTCCATGCTCACTGCAGACTGGCTGGTTCCATAAGGAGAGCAAACTGTTGATCTTGGGGCAGGTTTTCTTTTTTTTTTTTTTTTTTTTTTTAATTCTGTCTGCACTCACTGCACTATTTTGCCTTTGAATAAAGTGTTCTGAGGGTGATTTCTTATTTCGTTAATGATCGACTCCTGCTCCTCCAAAGCTGTCGAGGGGGGTTGGGAAGAGGCGTGAAGGTGGGGTGGAGGCCGCGTTGCTGGTGGAGCACCTCGAGCGCCTGCAGCAGCCAGAGCCG